GGAGAAGTGTAAATACTTCCACCCTCCAGCCCACCTGCAGGCCAAGATAAAGGCTGGCCAACACCAGGTCAACCAGGCTGCCGCCGCGGCAGCCATGGTAGGTATCCCTCTGTAACACCCTCCCAGCCACCCCTATCAAACCCAACCTACGTCCGAAAACCTGCCCCCCGCCCCTTGCCCCCTGTCATCGCCCCCACCCAGCCCCTTCAGCACACATTGCAACCTCAACCCTCTCCCCTCCCCTCACACCACCTAGACTACCCAGCAGACGCAGACAGTAAAGGTCATGTGTACTTTTTAAGCAGCTAGCTAGCTATATTGTCTAATGCTAAAAGTCTGACTTACTTCCCCCTACCCTCCCTGACCCCTTTCCTTTTTCCCTTTGAACTGTTACTATGCTGTGTAACACGTGTTATAACGTCTGTTATAACTGGATATCTTGTTATGCTTATTAGAGCTGTTGTAATTGTGTAGCAATATTTTATCCTGTTATAGCTAGGACTACTTGAGTATCAATTAAACAGCATTGTTATGTCTCCCTGTACACAAAAATACCAAGTAGTCCTGGATGTATTAGCATTGAACATACTATGTGATACCTCATGATTCGCTTAAAAGAATTCTGTAGTTTCTTGAAACCAGGAAGTGTCTAAAGATAAATGCAGTAACAGTGTTTAGTTCAATCCAGTGACAGGGAATAGCAAGCAAAGCAACAATCCTGTGTGTCGGTAAATTATGTCAAGCACATAGTGTTTACAGTAACAACCATATATCCATAAATGATGTCAAGCCCATAGTGTTTACAGTAACAAACCTACAGCCATTAATGATGTCAAGGACATAGTGTTTACAGTAACAACCATACAGCCATTAATGATGTCAAGGCCCTAGTGTTTACAGTAACAACCATACAGCCATTAATGATGTCAAGGCCATAGTGTTTACAGTAACAACCATACAGCCATTAATGATGTCAAGGCCATAGTGTTTACAGTAACAACCATACAGCCATTAATGATGCCAAGCACATAGTGTTTACAGTAACAACCCTACATTACATTTACATTTTACATTTACGTCATTTAGCAGAGGCTCTTATCCAGAGCGACTTACAAATTGGTGCATTCACCTTAAAGCCAGTGGGATAACCACTTTACAATATGTTTTTTTTTCTTCTTTCTTTGGGGTGGGGTAAGGGGGGGTAGAAGGACTACTTTATATTATCCCAGGTATTCCTTAAAGAGGTGGGGTTTCAAGTGTCTCCGGAAGGTGGTGAGTGACTCCGCTGTCCTGGCGTCGTGAGGGAGCTTGTTCCACCATTTGGGTGCCAGAGCAGCGAACAGTTTTGACTGGGCTGAGCGGGAACTGTGCTTCCGCAGAGGTAGGGGGGCCAGCAGGCCAGAGGTGGAAGAACGCAATGCCCTCGTTTGGGTGTAGGGACTGATGAGAGCCTGAAGGTACGGAGGTGCCGTTCCCCTCACAGCTCCGTAGGCAAGCACCATGGTCTTGTAGCAGATGCGAGCTTCAACTGGAAGCCAGTGGAGTGTGCGAAGGAGCTGGGTGACATGAGAGAACTTGGGAAGGTTGAACACCAGACGGGCTGCGGCATTCTGGATGAGTTGTAGGCACAGGCAGGGAGCCCAGCCAAACAGCGAGTTGCAGTAATCCAGACGGGAGATGACAAGTGCCTGGATTAGGACCTGTGCCGCATCCTGTGTAAGGCAGTTTCATACTCTCCGAATATTGTAGAGCATGAACCTACAGGATCGGGTCACCACCTTTATGTTAGCGGAGAACGACAGGGTGTTGTCCAGGGTCACGCCAAGGCTCTTTTCACTCTGGGAGGAGGACACAATGGAGTTGTCAACCGTGATGGCGAGATCATGGAACGGGCAGTCCTTCCCCGGGAGGAAGAGCAGCTCAGTCTTGCCGAGGTTCAGCTTGAGGTGGTGATCCGTCATCGACACTGATATGTCTGCCAGACATGCAGAGATGCGATTCGCCACCTGGTTATCAGAAGGGGGAAAGGAGGAGATTAGTTGTGTGTCGTCTGCGTAGCAATGATAGGAGAGGCCATGTGAGGATATGACAGAGCCAAGTGACTTGGTGTATAGCGAGAATAGGAGAGGGCCTAGAACTGAGCCCTGGGGGACACCAGTGGTGAGAGCACGTGGTGCGGAGACAGATTCTCGCCACGCCACTTGGTTGGAGCGACCGGTCAGGTAGGACGCAATCCAAGAGTGAGCCGCGCCGGAGATGCCCAACTCGGAGAGGGTGGAGAGGAGGATCTGATGGTTCACAGTATCAAAGGCAGCAGACAGGTCTAGAAGGACAAGAGCAGAGGAGAGAGAGTTAGCTTTAGCAGTGCGGAGAGCCTCCGTGACACAGAGAAGAGCAGTCTCAGTTGAATGACCAGTCTTGAAACCTGACTGGTTTGGTGCAAGAAGGTCATTCTGAGAGAGATAGCAAGAGAGTTGGCTAAAGACGGCACGCTCAAGAGTTTTGGAGAGAAAAGAAAGAAGGGATACTGGTCTGTAGTTGTTGACATCAGAGGGATCGAGTGTTGGTTTTTTTGAGAATGGGTGCAACTCTCGCTCTCTTGAAGATGGAAGGGACAACTCAAGGATGAGTTGATGAGCGAGGTGAGGTAAGGGAGAAGATCACCAGAGATGGTCTGGAGAAGAGAGGAGGGGATAGGGTCAAGCGGGCAGGTTATTGGGTGGCCGGCCGTCACAAGTCGCAAGATTTCATCTGGAGAGAGAGGGGAGAAAGAAGTCAAAGCATAGGGTAGGGCAGTGTGAGCAGGACCAGCAGTGTCATTTGACTTAACAAACGAGGATCGGATGTCGTCAACCTTCTTTTCAAAATGGTTGACGAAGTCATCCACAGAGAGGGAGGGGGGGGGGGGGGAGGATTCAGCAGGGAGGAGAAGGTGGCAAAGAGCTTCCTAGGGTTAGAGGCAGATGCTTGGAATTTAGAGTGGTAGAAAGTGGCTTTAGCAGCAGAAACAGAGGAAGAAATGTAGAGAGGAGGGAGTGAAAAGATGCCAGGTCCGCAGGGAGTCTAGTTTTCCTCGTCAAGCCACGGAGCAGGAGGGGAGGACCGAGCTGGCCGGGAGGATAGGGGACATAGAGAGTCAAAGGATGCAGAAAGGGAGGAGAGGAGGGTTGAGGAGGCAGAATCAGGAGATTGGAGGGAGAAGGAATGAGCAGAGGGAAGAGATGATAGGATGGAAGAGGAGAGAGTAGCGGGAGAGAGAGAGTGAAGGTCGCGACGGCGCATTACCATCTGAGTAGGGGCAGAGTGAGTAGTGTTGGAGGAGAGCGAGAGAGAAAAGGATACAAAGTAGTGGTCGGAGACATGGAGGGGAGTTGCAGTGAGATTAGTAGAAGAACAGCATCTAGTAAAGATGAGGTCAAGCGTATTGCCTGCCTTGTGAGTAGGGGGGGACGGTGAGAGGGTGAGGTCAAAAGAGGAGAGGAGTGGAAAGAAGGAGGCAGTGAGAAATGAGTCAAAGGTAGACGTAGGGAGGTTAAAGTCACCCAGAACTGTGAGGGGTGAGCCATCTTCAGGAAAGGAACTTATCAAGGCGTCAAGCTCATTGATGAACTCTCCAAGGGAACCTGGAGGGCGATCAATGACAAGGATGTTAAGCTTGAATGGGCTAGTGACTGTGACAGCATGGAATTCAAATGAGGAGATAGACAGATGGGTCAGGGGAAAAATAGAGAATGTCCACTTGGGAGAGATGAGGATTCCTGTGCCACCACCCCGCTGACCAGATGCTCTCGGGGTATGCGAGGAGAGAGCAGTAGGAGTAGCAGTGTTTTCAGTGGTAATCCATGTTTCCATCAGCGCCAAGAAGTCGAGGGACTGGAGGGTAGCATAGGCTGAGATGAACTCTGCCTTGTTGGCCGCAGAACGGCAGTTCCAGAGGCTGCCGGAGACCCGGAACTCCATGTGGGTCGTGCGTGCAGGGACCACCAGGTTAGAGAGGCAGCAGCCACATGGTGTGAGGCGTTTGTATAGCCTGTGCGGAGAGGAGAGAACAGGGATAGACAGAGGCATAGTTGACAGGCTACAGAAAATGGCTACAATAATGCAAAGGAGATCGGAATGAAATGAACTAAACATCTGGGAAAGCGAGAGAGCGGGGCCTCCCTCACTTACGTTTCACTGAAACACCCAAATATAACTCTCCCAACATCCACCTCAAAAACTATAATTGATGTAAACTACAGCAGTTCAATGTTTTCTATAAATAGACTAACTTAGTTTATTCAGCTAGCTAACTTGGTACAGTATTCTTCCGTGAAAAACCGTCCAGGGCACCGAATCCTATGACGCCACAGCCAACTAGCATGCCAGCCTCCAACAACATGGTTTAGCACCAATACTCGGCCACAACAAACCACCAGTGTGTCAACACGCCAAGCAGATCATACGTGTCCGTGTCTAACGTTGTGGGTTAGTCCCGACAGCTTGAGAGAGTCCGTCGTCAACTTATTCAGCCAGTTAGTTAGCTTGAATAGTTAGCATACTAGCTAGCCATTGCTTTCTGCCAACGAAAAAACCCTCCACCCACGGCACGAACACACAGAGAGAGCCAAGCTAACGTTAACTAGTCACCCATGTCCCGAATTCCCTTGAATGACTCTGGCTACCAGTATGTAAAAAACAAAACACAAATGTAGGTTTTAACTTACCCCTAGCAGCTACTGTTAGCTAGCCAAGTGCAAAGCTAGTGAATTGACTCAGCCAGTTCGCGTCTGTTCACTAGGTCGTTCCAGCTATTGTTTAGTTAGCTATCCAGGTAGCAACAAGCTAGCTACATTTCGAGCACAGTAGCTACTGACAATGAGGTTAGAAAAACAGCTGAATGGTAGGCATTATTGTATGTCATTATTGTAGGCAGCTAGCTGGCGTAATTACAGGCACTCTCAAGCGTGAAACAACTATCCACAGTTGCTAATAGTTACCAGTAGCTACCCGCTAATTGTCCAGGTAGTGGGTTAGCTAGCCTCGTGCTTCACCGAATACAATACCTACAATAATTACATACAATAACCCACGATAACTACCTACAATACCTAACTACAATCTAACTACATAGTTTAAGCTTTACTCTACACCATATAAGCCATATAAACCAAGCTTACCTCCCGCCAGAGAGAGACAAAACCTCACCCGACGACGACGACCACCACCAGAGTCTCAGTACAGTACATTAATGATGTCAAGCCCATAGTGTTTACAGTAACAACCATACAGCCATTAATGATGTCAAGCCCATAGTGTTTACAGTAACAGCCCTACAGCCATGAATGATGTCAAGGCCCTAGTGTTTACAGTAACAAACCTACAGCCATTAATGATGTCAAGGACATAGTGTTTACAGTAATAACCCTACAACCATTAATGATGTCAAGGCCCTAGTGTTTACAGTAACAACCATACAGCCATTAATGATGTCAAGCCCATAGTGTTTACAGTAACAGCCCTACAGCCATGAATGATGTCAAGGACATAGTGTTTACAGTAACAGCCCTACAGCCATGAATGATGTCAAGGCCATAGTGTTTACAGTAACAACCCTACAGCCATTAATGATGTCAAGGACCTAGTGTTTACAGTAACAACCTTACAGCCATTAATGATGTCAAGCACATAGTGTTTACAGTAACAACCCTACAGCCATTAATGATGTCAAGGCCATAGTGTTTACAGTAACAACCCTACAGCCATTAATGATGCCAAGGCCCTAGTGTTTATAGTAACAACCCTACAGCCATTAATGATGTCAAGGCCATAGTGTTTACAGTAACATCCTCTAGCCATGTTATTTGTTGTATATTGCATTCCAATGATTTGTTGTTTTTTTGTTTTTTTGTTTTGTTGTTGTTTTTTTTCTCACCAACCCACACTGCACTGCTGCGTCCATGATGCACCTCTGCTTGCTGGTTTATGTTAATGCGCTTGAACCCCATTGGCCCATTGCCACCTTGTGCTCGCTGCCTGCTAATTAAGACTCAGTCGGCTGTCAAATCACTGAAGCGACCCCTCGACGCAACCTTTGACCTGGTACTATGACCTTTCACCTTTTAGCTTGGCATGCAGCTCTGTTATACTGGATTCTAACTAAATACATCTTAGTTTGTTATTGTTTATTAACCATTTCATTGATGGGGTAATTAATTGATTGTGGCATTACTGTTTACTAAATGTTTAATTGATGGGGTGATGAATTGATTGTGGTATACTGGTACCCAGTTAATTCACCTAAATATCCCTTTACATTACCATTCCATCTCTATGTCAACGAGGGAATGGGGCGGGATTGGCAAAACACTTACAGTGTCTAAGCAGCTTTACTAAAATACTGTCTACAGTCAGTTCATTCCCGCTCGTCTCTCCATCCTTAATAACATGGTTTGAACTTATATCTGGAGTTAATTTAGTTAATGCAGTAGCTAAAAGCATGATTAGTGTCTATTCAGTAGTATTCAAGTATAAATATCTTGCACAATTATGATATATTTTCTTATTATTTCCAGTTTTGCATGTGTGGGCTTGTAGAGAGACATCAGAATGAACAAGGCTTTTCCTGTTAATCATGGAGCTAGCAACAAGGCTTTTCCTGTTAATCATGGAGCTAGCAACAAGGCTTCTACTGTTAATCATGGAGCTAGCAACAAGGCTTCTACTGTTAATCATGGAGCTAGCAACAAGGCTTCTACTGTTAATCATGGAGCTAGCAACAAGGCTTCTACTGTTAATCATGGAGCTAGCAACAAGGCTTCTACTGTTAATCATGGAGCTAGCAACAAGGCTTTTCCTGTTAATCATGGAGCTAGCAACAAGGCTTCTACTGTTAATCATGGAGTAGCAAACAAGGCTTCTACTGTTCATCATGGAGCTAGCAACAAGGCTTCTACTGTTAATCATGGAGCTAGCAACAAGGCTTTTCCTGTTAATCATGGAGCTAGCAACAAGGCTTCTACTGTTAATCATGGAGCTAGCAACAAGGCTTCTACTGTTAATCATGGAGCTAGCAACAAGGCTTTACTGTTAATCATGGAGCTAGCAACAAGGCTTCTACTGTATCATGGAGCTAGCAACAAGCTTCTACTGTTATCATGGAGCTAGCAACAAGGCTTTTCCTGTTAATCATGGAGCTAGCAACAAGGCTTCTACTGTTAATCATGGAGCTAGCAACAAGGCTTCTACTGTTAATCATGGAGCTAGCAACAAGGCTTCTACTGTTAATCATGGAGCTAGCAACAAGGCTTTTCCTGTTAATCATGGAGCTAGCAGTGCAGCTTTTCTCTGTTAACATCATTTATGTTGACTCCTTAATACTAGGACAATTATTATTAGCATTATTTTGCAGAGCTCCTAATATGTTATCAATTATGTGTTACAAAAGCTGGTTTACTTTTGCATTATTTATATTTTACAGTACTACATTATTTCTGTGTATATTGTCTGTGTGTTGGTAACTAGTTTTATTGTCATCACTAGTTGTCACAATTCACAGACCAGCACCACTGTCTTTCTTTAGAAGGACTAGTGTAGCATAGACCACTGTCTTGCTATATGACTAGTGTAGCATAGACCACTGTCTTGCTATAGAACTAGAGTAGCATAGACCACTGTCTTGCTATAGAAAGACTTGCTTATTTTTTAAATCAAAAGTATTGCTACATAGAGATGCCTTTATCTTCTAATGAAAATATTTATTCTCTCTGTCTTTGATTCTACCACCTCCACCACCACCACCACCACCTCCACCTCCACCACCACCACCACCCCACCTCCACCTCCACCACCACCACCACCTCCACCACCACCACCACCACCTCCACCACCACCACCTCCACCACCACCACCACCTCCACCACCACCACCACCACCACCACCTCCACCACCACCACCTCCACCACCACCCACCTCCACCACCACCTCCACCACCACCTCCACCTCCACCACCACCACCTCCACCACCACCACCTCCACCACCACCACATCGTTTTCTGTTTTCCCCTCCATTGGGTCCCTCTATCAGGGGCTCCCACCTGTTTTACCTCCATTACCAAAGAGACCCATACTTGAGAAAGCCAACGGTGCCACCGCCATGTTCAACGCCGCTGGCATGTTCCAGTACCAACAGTACCAGCAGGCCCTGGCCAACATGCAGTTTCAGCAGCAGTTCATCCCGTCAGGTAGGCCTTGACCCCTCACCTTTCACCTCTCAACTCTCAACTCAACACGACCCCTGAAGTCAAATCTGATGCTGCTGACCTCCATTCACAAACCTCAAACCTTACCCATAAAACCTCTGATTTCAGGCTCCTTACCCATAACACCTCTGGTTTCAGGCTCCTTACCCATAACACCTCTGGTTTCAGGCTCCTTACCCATAACACCTCTGGCTTCAGGCTCCTTACCCATAAAACCTCTGGTTTCAGGCTCCTTACCCATAACACCTCTGGTTTCAGGCTCCTTACCCATAACACCTCTGGCTTCAGGCTCCTTACCCATAAATCCTCTGGCTTCAGGCACCTTACCCATAACACCTCTGGCTTCAGGCTCCTTACCCATAAAACCTCTGGCTTCAGGCTCCTTACCCATAAAACCTCTGGCTTCAGGCTCCTTACCCATAAAACCTCTGGCTTCTGGCTCCTTACCCATAACACCTATGGTTTCAGGCTCCTTACCCATAACACCTCTGGTTTCAGGCTCCTTACCCATAACACCTCTGGTTTCAGGCACCTTACCCATAAAACCTCTGGCTTCAGGCACCTTACCCATAAAACCTCTGGCTTCGGGCTCCTTACCCATAAAACCTCTGGCTTCGGGCTCCTTACCCATAACACCTCTGGTTTCAGGCACCTTACCCATAAAACCTCTGGCTGAAGCCTCCTTACCCATAAAACCTCTGGCTTCAGGCACCTTACCCATAAAACCTCTGGCTTCGGGCTCCTTACCCATAAAACCTCTGGCTTTGGTCCTGCACAGCACACATAGTTCTGATTCGACATTCATTCATGTTGCAGTATCCCTCTGAATGCAACGACAAGTTGAAACATGAACACAAACACACCAGTCTGAGAACACTGGCACCACCCTGGTCCGACCCACAAACACCAGTGAGGGTCCAGTGAGTGTTAGTCTACACCTCCTCACCCATTATTGGACAGTCAGACAGAGATGGACTGGCTGGCTATCGGACAGTTCTGGCAAATGCCAGATGGGCTGGTCTATTTTTAACCTAGAATGATCTTTATTTGGCTAACAATGGGAGCCTCAAGTTAAAAAGTGGGCTGGTGTTTTAGAAAGAACCAATACGATTTCTGTTCCCATTCAATCCCTGCTGTCAAACCACAGAAATCCAAGTCCACACTGAGAGAACTAGAGGCAGCTCGTCCATAACCACTCTGGGCCAACAACCTTTAGATTACTAGAATTGCAAGATAGCCAGTTAACTATTTACCCTGGCACATAATTGATCTTGGAAAGTTATTGGCTGATGAGACTGGTCATTAAGCTTTTTCCGTTTTAGACGTATATTTTGCTCTGGACGACTGGTGCTAAACCTACTTTTAGCTACTGATGAACACATCAACACACATAACATCTCTGTGTTCTTTACACTTTAGCTCTCTGTATGTTTGTGTGCATTTAGTACCGACCACGATTCTATCTGTAATGAGTGACCCACATTAACAGTTATGATTATCATTAATGAATGATTAATGGTACAGCAGTGGCTTGCGAAAGTATTCACCCCCCTTGGCATTTTTTCTATTTTGTTGCCTTATAACCTGGAATTAAAATTGATTTTTGGGGGGTTTGTATCATTTGATTTACAAAACATGCCTACAACTTTGAAGATGCAAAATATTTTTTATTGTGAAACAAACAAGAAATAAGACAAAAAAAACAGAGAACTTGAGCGTGCATAACTATTCACCCCCCCCCCCCCAAGTCAATACTTTGTAAAGCCACCTTTTGCAGCAATTACAGCTGCAAGTCTCTTGGGGTATGTCTCTATAAGCTTGGCACATCTAGCCACTGGGATTTCTGCCCGTTCTTCAAGGCTAAACTACTCCAGCTCCTTCAAGTTGGATGGGTTCTGGCTGGTGTACAGCAATCTTTAAGTCATACCACACTGAAATGTTTCCTCTTAAACCATTCAAGTGTTGCTTTAGCAGTATGCTTAGGGTCATTGTCCTCCTGGAAGGTGAACCTCCATCCCATTCTCAAATCTCTGGAAGACTGAAACAGGTTTCCCTCAAGAATTTCCCTATATTTATCATTCCTTCAATTCTGACCAGTTTCCCAGTCCCTGTCGATGAAAAACATCCCCACAGCATGATGCTGCCACCACCATGCTTCACTGTGGGGATGGTGTTCTCGGGGTGATGAGAGGTGTTGGGTTTGCGTCAGACATAGCTTTTTCCTTGATGGCCAAAAAGCTCAATTTTTGTCTCATCTGACCAGAGTACCTTCTTCCATATGTTTGGGGAGTCTACCACATGCCTTTTGGCAAACACCAAACGTATTTGCTTATTTTTGTCTTTAAGCAATGGCTTTTTTCTGGCCACTCTTCCGTAAAGCCCAGCTCTTTGGAGTGTACGGCTTAAAGAGGTCCTATGGACAGATACTCCAGTCTCCACTGTGGAGCTTTGCAGCTCCTTCGGGGTTATCTTTGGTCTCTTTGTTGCCTCTCTGATTAATGCCCTCCTTGCCTGGTCCGTGAGTTTTGGTGGGCGGCCCTCTCTTGGCAGATTTGTTGTGGTGCCATATTCTTTCCATCTTTTGATAATGGATTGAATGGTGCTCTGTGGGATGTTCAAAGTTTCTGATATTTTTTTATAATCCAACCCAGATCTGTACTTCTCCACAACTTTGTCCCTGACCTGTTTGGAGAGCTCCTTGGTCTTCATGGTGCCGCTTGCTTGGTGTTGCCCCTTGCTTAGTGGTGTTGCAGACTCTGGGGCCTTTCAGAACAGGTGTATATATACTGAGATCATGTGACACTTAGATTGCACACAGGTGGACTTTATTTAACTAATTATGTGACTTCTGAAGGTAATTGGTTGCACAAGATCTTATTTAGGGGCTTCATAGCAAAGGGGGTGAACACATATGCATGCACCACTTTTCCGTTATCTATTTTGTAGAATTTTCTGAAACAAGTTATATTTTTCATTTCACTTCAACAATTTGGACTATTTTGTGTATGTCCATTACATCAAATCCAAATAAAAATCAATTTAAATTACAGGTTGTAATGCAACAAAATAGGAAAAACGCCAAGGGGGATGAATACTTTTGCAAGGCACTGGAGATGCAACTTAAATCTGTCTTTATTCACTGCAGTCACTGCATTCGGACCCCTTGCCTTTTCCACATTTAGTTACGTTACAGCCATATTCTAAAATGGATTAAATAAAATAATGTCCTCATCAATCTACGCACACTACTCCATAATGGCAGAGCAAAAACAGGTTTTTAGAAATGTAAATAACTATTCAGACCATTTGCTATGAGACTAGAAATTGAGCTCAGGTGCATCCTTTTTCCATTGATCATCCTTGAGATGTTTATACAACTTGATTGGAGTCCACCTGTGGTAAATTCAATTGATTGGACATGATTTGTAAAGGCACACACCTGTCTATATAAGGTCCCATAGTTGACAGTGCATGTCAGAGCAAAAACCAAGCCGTGAGGTCGAAGGAATTGTCCGTGGAGGTCTGAGACAGGACTGTGTAGAGGCACAGATCTGGGGAAGGGTACCAAAACATGTCTACAGCATTGAAGTTCCCCAAGAACACAGTGGCCTCCATCATTCTGAAATGGAAGAAGTTTGGAACCACCAAGACTCTTCCTAGAGCTGGCCGCCCGGACAAACTGAGCAATCGGGGGAGAAGGGTCACTCTGACAGATCTCCAGAGTTCCTCTGTGGGAGATGTTCCAGAAGGACAACCATCTCTACAGGACTCCACCAATCAGGCCTTTAGTGTAGAGTGGCCAGACGGAAGCCACTCCTCAGTAATAGGAACATGACAGCCCGTTTGGAGTTTGCCAAAAGGCACCTAAAGACTCTCAGACCATGAGAAACAAGATTCTCTGGTCTGATGAAACCAATATTGAACTCTTTGGCCTGAATGCCAAGCGTCACGTCTGGAGGAAACCTGGTGAAGCATGGTGGTGGCAGCATCATGCTGTGGGGATGTTTTTCAGCGGCAGGGACCGGGAGACTAGTCAGGATCGAGGGAAAGATGAACGGAGTAAAGTACAAAGAGATCCTTGATAAAAACCTGCTCCAGAGCTCTACGGATCTCAGACTGGGGCGAAGGTTCACCTTCCAACAGGACAACGACCCTAAGCACACAGCCAAGACAACGCAGGAGTGGCTTCGGGACAAGTCTCTGAATGTCCTTGATTGGCCCAGCCAGAGCCCGGACTTGAACCCGATCAAACATCTCTGGAGAGACCTGAAAATAACTGTGCAGCGACGCTCCCCATCCAACCTGACAGAGCTTGAGAGGATCTGCAGAGAAGAATGGGAGAAACTCCTCAAATACAGGTGTGCCAAGCTTGTAGTGTCATACCCAAGAAGAAACAAGGCTGTAATCGCTTCCAAAGGTGCTTCAACAAAGTACAGAGTAAAGGGTCTGAATACTTATGTAAATGTGATATGTCAGTTTTTAAAAAAACTGTTTTTGCTTTGTCATTATGAGGTATTGTGTGTAGCATGATGAGGGACTAAAACGATTTAATCAATTTCAGAATAAGGCTGTAATGTAACAAAATGTGGTAAAAAGTAAAGGGGTCTGAATACTTTCCGAATGCACTGTATCACCTGTGTAATGCTTTGTAGCCCTTTCCCGCAGTCAAATGACCTAGTGGCCTCATCGGTGGAATGTTATTCATATTTTTCATAATTTCATAATTAATACACTTTTTGGTTTTAATAACGCCGGATATCCGGTGTTTCTATGTCAAACGGTTTTGTTATATTTCAGTCTTCTGTATATATAAAGTGTAATATTGGGATGCAAACTCAAAATGTAATACATTTCAACTCGATATCGGACATGGTACAGGAGACTTATTTTTTTTAAGCCCATAACCATGTGTGTGTGTTATATACTTTTAGTTCAAAGTAGATTTGTTTAAGACTCTGTGTGACCCCGATTCAGCCTACTGCAGTAAAAGGTGAAAGTACTGTATCCTTCTGTACCCATAACAACACTGTGTCCTTCTAATGACACTGTCTTTTTGTGTTGATTTCTTCTCCCCGTCTCCCTTTCCAATCCACTTCCTGTTGCAATGCATGATGGGCAGGCTCAATATTGTGCATGACACCTGCAACAAGTGTTGGTAGGTGCAAGCTTTCCTTCCTGAATACCTTTAAGCCTTTTCAGTCCCTCACACTCCATCTCAAGCCATCAGGGCGGCCATTTTCCACTCTTGAGGCCAAGGAGGCATCTCAATAGTCCAAAGTAACTTAATCTCCTCGTCTCCTTCCCTAGATAGATAGATAGATAGATAGATAGATAGATAGATAGATAGATAGATAGATAGATAGATAGATAGATAGATAGATAGATAGATAGATAGATAGATAGATAGATAGATAGATAGATAGATAGATAGATAGATAGATAGATAGATAGATAGATAGATAGATAGATAGATAGATAGATAGATAGATAGATAGATAGATAGATAGATAGATAGATAGATAGATAGATAGATAGATAGATAGATAGATGGTTCTATCTACACCTACAAATACATGTGCCACAATCCTGCACAAGATAATAAGAACATGAACAAATATAAACACATTAATACAAATATTTAAATGGGAATATCTTCCCCATCTAGTGTCCGCAATGAAAGCAATACATACGAATGATTTAGTTGTCACTTGGCAAGGTGGTGCCTGATGACGAAAAATAGATGGATAAGAAGTGAACAATTGAGATGCGGTACAGAGTGTTGTATCACTGAGTTAACTGCTGTCAATTAAATATATAGCAGGGATTCCATAGTTAAACAATTTATTTTGTTTCATTATTTGTGGTTAAAGATGTAATTTAGGAGAATTTTGTAAGGGAAATGATTTGTAATAGAATATGACACATAATTGACATTTAGATTCACAGCTGGAGAAAGAAATACAGAGCTTTTCATCTTCTATTTCATACCCTGACAGAGTGGGACTGGACTGGACTGGGACGGACTGTGGGTTGCAGACAGGGTTAGTTGTAGTATTATTATCTTATTGGTGGTGGTGGTGGTGGTGGTGGTGATGGTGGTTCAGTTATGAGATGTGTATAGTTATGGAAATATTAATTAAGTATATGAGTAATTCTGAAGCACATTTTGCGAATGTTATGAGTAGTGAAATGTTGTTTTACTGTAGGCTAGTTGTTTCACCCGTTTCCCAGTGTGTCACCCCCTATGGAATGTCACCTGCTATGCAGTACGAACGCATGTTGTCACGTTGCTAATATTTGTCCGTCATATGATGTGCCACATAGCTTGTTGCTGTAATAACCCATTCGGACCCACTCATTATCCTGACCCTCTTCCCAAACCTCAGTTACCCTGTTAGCTAACAGCTTATTTAAAGGTCAGCTTAGAATCTGTTAGAAATGGCATTAGTAATAGATAGTAAGAAATACACAAACAAATGATTTACTAATGGTCAACATCAACAAACTAGTATTTAAGGTTTAGAAGTGGTTAGAAGTGGAGAGTAAACCAGTAACCTTTATAATACAACAACACATCTGCCTGCTACAGTTCATTTGAATGTCTGATCTTTCTCTCCCCAAAGTACCCATGATGCACGGTGCTACGCCCGCCACTGCGTCTGCAGCCACCTCCTCTGCCACAAGTGTTCCCTTTGCAACCGCAACAGCCAATCAGGTTTGCTCCTCTTCTGCTTCCCCTCCCTCTGTCCACTTCCTGTGATGGAAGTATGTCACTTCCGGGTGGTGTTTTGAGAGTACTGTTCTTTAGGCTGTGTCCTCCATCATGTTGGTACTTATGGCCACTCATTGAATGTTATGAATGGTCATCAGAAGAGGAGGATGGATGCACGGTGACTGATTACACCTCTAACTATTCCCCTGAGGCTTTTAAAGACACTGACGAACATTCAGGAAAATGACGGCATCGTTTCCTCCTCAGTGGTCAGTGTTGTTTTATTTGTAACGGATATTGTTTGCCGTTCATTTAAAATACGATTCATAGTGTATTTGGCACCGTCTGTAAGTGACGTAAGAAAAATGAAAATGAAGCGTTGAGAGTTGAGAGTGTAGTGTTTTGTTGTGTTGTGTTGTAAAAGCTAAACTTACAGTAATGTTCTTTTTTTTATGTCTTCTCTCATGTTCTTCCCCAGATTCCAATAATATCTGCAGATCATCTTACTTGTCACAAGTATGTGACCCAGATGTAGACATCTCAAGCAGAACAGTAAGACTCATTTTCATGCAGATGTACAGTATTGGCCATGCAATCTCTTAAAGTGTTCTTCTATTCTTCTGTAAATCATTATTTTCTATTCTCCTCTGTTCTATTGTTTTCTCCTGCAGATGAAACTGGAGTGTGCTGGTGTTCCGCAGTTAACCCTTCATGCCTGTAACCATAGAAATATAATCTTTACAGGAGATATATTTCTAAGCCTGTAACATCCAGAACACCAGAAGACTCCAACTGACCTGTAAACTGTAGTGGTACTGACATGCATGATCCTCTAGGAGGTCCATTCTACACAACACCAATACAGACAACGGCACTGGTGGGCCTTCCTACAGAGAGGAACTATGCCATCTACAGAACATTACGGCCAGCCTTTAAGTCTGTGGAGACGTCATCCATTAACACACCGGACGCACTTTGAATGTCAACGTGAGGAGATAGTCACGCCCACTAGTTTGGTATGTCAGCAGACCAAGACTCTCTTATGTGTTGTTTCCCGGTTTGTTTTCCTTAATTGATATCATTTTTTTCATGGTTTACACAAAACAAAGTTTTACACGTTGTATTTTAAATGAGAGGGGGGCGTTGGTTCTGTTAGTATGAAAAAAAAAATATATATGCACTCACTAACTGTAAGTCGCTCTGGATAAGAGCGTCTGCTAAAATGTCTAAAATGTAAAAAATGGGGGAATTAACAGGAATAGTAACTAATTGCCATATTAGACTGAATGAATTGTGCATGTCTTGTTTGTAGATGACTTGGTTCTTACAAGGCAAACTTGGTTGAAATGGGTTAGCGGGCTTGGTGACAAAATGACAGCTGAATTTTTTGAGTTTATTACACCTTTGTGTTTTTTAAATCACATCCCAGCTTTACTAGATCTGCTGCAAGCTCCACGTAAAGTACCATAGACTCTATGTATTTACATTCCCGCTTAAAAAAACAAAGTATTCAAAGTCTCTAGTGTCTCTAGTGTCCTTGAACGTTTGCCTAAAGTTTGTTGTCATTAACAGATTACCCATTCATGGTCTTCGCCTCTTGGGTGCGCATTACCTACCTTAGGTTGTCTGATTTACCTCTGGTTTTCTGTTGGTCTTCTTTTGACTTGCCTTGAGTGTATTCCATGGTGTGAGTCAGACAGAGAAGGAGTCTTGGTTCTGTTAGGACCCGGTCCTCTCTGTCTCTGGGTATAGTCTTTAGACTAGTTGGTTCTGTAAGGACCCGGTCCTCTCTGTCTCTGGGTATAGTCTATAGACTCTAGTTGGTTCTGTAAGGACCCGGTCCTCTCTGTCTCTGGGTATAGTCTATAGACTCTAGTTGGTTCTGTAAGGACCCGGTCCTCTCTGTCTCTGGGTATAGTCTATAGACTCTAGTTGGTTCTGTAAGGACCCGGTCCTCTCTGTCTCTGGGTATAGTCTATAGACTCTAGTTGGTTCTGTAAGTACCCGGTCCTCTCTGTCTCTGGGTATAGTCTATAGACTCTAGTTGGTTCTGTAAGGACCCGGTCCTCTCTGTCTCTGGGTATAGTCTATAGACTCTAGTTGGTTCTGTAAGGACCCGGTCCTCTCTGTCTCTGGGTATAGTCTATAGACTCTAGTTGGTTCTGTAAGGACCCGGTCCTCTCTGTCTCTGGGTATAGTCTATAGACTCTAGTTGGTTCTGTAAGGACCCGGTCCTCTCTGTCTCTGGGTATAGTCTATAGACTCTAGTTGGTTCTGTAAGGACCCGGTCCTCTCTGTCTCTGGGTATAGTCTATAGACTCTAGTTGGTTCTGTAAGGACCCGGTCCTCTCTGTCTCTGGGTATAGTCTATAGACTCTAGTCGGTTCTGTAAGGACCCGGTCTCACTCGTGGTGGAGACTCTAAAAAAGGAATGATAGAATGAAGCACAGTTGAAAGTTGCATGATAAACCAAATCGCCGAGAGGAGTGAGAAGTTTCAAAGAGTTTCAGGGTAGCTTACGGTTGAGTTGCCATGTCAGTTTTTAAATGGTATTGTTCGTATTTTATTACAATTTATTCATTGTTTTGTTTTTGTTTTATATTAAGTACAGTGCATATAGTCTATGACATATAAGAGAACTTGTGAAAACAATTAAATGTGTGATAGTAGGTATATTTTTGGATAGATACAGCCAAAGGTTTGTTTCTCTTGTGTTTCTTTTAAATGACGGGGAGGGCTAGTGGAGACAAAATCAAAGATAAAGTTATCTATTGACGAGTGGGGGAGTGCAGAGTGGTTTTCTAAAAACTGCTTCTGCATTGCATCGTGGGTGTTTCTTGGAGCATATTGATTGATGGCATGATGGTATGAAAGAGTTGGGAAAAGTTTGACCTGATTGTATTACTCATCCAAAGCCTTAGAAAACACCACGGGGTCGGGAACAACTGATACATGCCATTTCAAATCGTCCTCTTGCCTAACCCATGCTGTTGTGTCACCACACAGAGCTTTCTTGCTGTATATGATTGTTGCTTATGTCTTTCTTTCACTGAAAACATTTATTTGTTGTTGAGTTAAGTCGTGGAAGAAGATGAATGTGTTATTTCATTTTGTTTAATTCACGGATTACATTTTGGATATTTAGTTAAAGGTGTTTTGGTTTACTAGATTTTTACCAGTAACTTTTTTAGGATGCTGAATATTAGGTAATGTGTGTGTTTTTGTGTTCTTCATACCATATTTAGTTTTCTGAAATGTAATGTAACACTGATTTGAATATTTACTGTAGTGTTATTTTCTGTGAACTGTAAGAATTTTGTTAATTTCTTGTCTGTTTGAGTTCTTTGAACAAATATATTTTATATGGGTATCTGACATTGAAGAAATACTAGAACAATGAGGTCTGCTGTGACAACCCTCACCGACCATGGAGTAATATTTTAATGATCGTCTGGGTTGTAGCTAGTCACTCTTATAAAGGGGAAAATATTATAAAGAAATCTCGTTCTTAGATGTGTAGATAAAACAAGTAATTTTTCTACTGTATTCATTTCAAATAGAAACTATTGTTTTGAATGTTTTAAATCTCCCTGGAAGTCAGGCCATGTTGAAAACCTAGTTGCATATTTGATCACTCTTAGGGGGCGTTGTAGTTGAGGTCAGGTGTCTGATCTCTTTACTTAACCCGCTAACAAACGAGGGGAAACCTAGGTGACGAAGGTTGACTTTTTTGCACTTCTGTACATAGTCAAAAACAAAAGAGAGAATTATGTATAATATTGAGATCTTATTTTGAATAAAAAATTATCAATAACTACACGAAACTTTGCTAGGATAATAAACAAAATAATGAAAGGCTGAAACAAAGCTGTTCTCACTCTGTAGCCCTTTCAGAAAAGGCAACGTGTTCCTCTTCTTTATTTTGTCAGCGGCTTGTAGTTTTCCAGGAAACCTTCGGGTGGTGGTGTGCACTAACCACCGGAGAAAAGGGCACGACTGGGGTTGTCTCGTGTCATGGCCACACCCTTCCAGGCCCAACCAATCAAAACAAGTCCTGTTTTAGCCAGAGTAATGCATGTTAAAGGAGAATGACATATACTTTTTTTTAAAGAACTAGTTCACAACAGAGTAATATTGAATAAGTCGACATGTTACACAGCATTTACAGTAGACAGTATAATATCAATGTAATGGACTAACAGAAAAAGAAAAAAAGAAAAAGAAATTATTAAAAAGATTCGTAAGAATCTCACTTCAAGAGTAATAACACCTACAGTAAAAACAGTACATAGAACACAAACGCCATAGCTGTCAGTAAGTTTCTTTCTGTTTAGAAGCAATGCTTCTGGTTGATGAAATGGACAAAAAACATGAAAGTAGTTTGCCAGGTAAACTATTGGGGAACCTATAAAACAGTTCTCGATTTCTGTGTTACGCATGGGCTTCAACGTTAGTCCAAACCGGTGATGTGACTTTTTTCATCTGTCACGAGCACATGCCTGATGTTATGATATGATGTAATCTGAACTTTACGTTTTCTCAGCTTGTCGTGCTAAAACGATGTATTCTGTCTGCCTATGTACTGTTGTCTTCTGCTACCGTTTGTCTCTGCTTATTTTATTGTTCAGGGCCCCCGTGAAATGATTTGCGCCATGTAGCCAGATATCCACCTCCTCTGCAAAGCACGTGCTATGTAAGCCACAATCTAAAGCCATAATATATTTTCCATTAAAAAATGAATCAGTGTCGAGTTAACAGTATTCATAAGAATGAAGGTGCATGATTGGTTGGCCATTGACATTTTTGGTCTACCGTTTATAAAGCTGGTTTTAACAAAGTTTGAGCGATTGGTGAAGATGCACTGTGCTAACTTGGAAGGGATTGTTTTGACTGGCAATGGCTATCATGTGGGAATCCTTTCACCGGGGTTCTAATGCTTTATATGATTCTAGCAGTTGAGAATAAAATAAAAATGTAATAAAAATATATACATTCAGTAAAATAAAAGTGAATTTGCTCTAAAAGTTTGATCTCTAATTTATTCTATG